ACTTATTGACCTCTTGAAACGTAAGGTAATTATGCATATGACAGACTTTAGGAAATATCAGCCTTATACTCTAGTTATAGATGTCATTCAGATAATCAGTAGAAACAATATCCGCATACGATTGAGGTTAAAGATGAGTTAACTACATTACTAGACTTCATTTGAGTTTATTTTTCTGTTGGCGGAACCAACATCAAACAGCATTCTGTATGTAGACAGAACTTTGGATCTTTCAAAAGTGCTTTTATTTTTGGTGTATATCTCTTGTAGATATTTGTGATTTCCTACTTCTGTCGCTTGTCTCTAGTTTCTGAACCTGATGGACGTGTGAGTGAAGAGAGAGGACTGATGGATTACGTAATGAGAAGTCAAGTGAAAGACAAATATAATCTAACAGAAGCATATGATGTTTCTAGCCAGATCGCCAGTAACCAATTAATGTTGATGAATAAGTTGTGGAAACAAGTGGTACAATTATCAGGTTCAGTCGTTCCTTTTTTTACTTTGAAATGTGGAAAACGTTCTGTCTTCAGTAGACTTCTGTTTACTTTGTAAATTATTCTGAATAATGAGTCATTTGCGAAGCTATAACAAGTGCTTGAGAGGCATTCAATTATGCCACTGCTGACTGAACCAATGTCGCCTTTTTTGCAGTCATGTTACGCAGCGTTTGTTAACATGTTTTGAAAGAAAGCGCATAGAATGACCTCGATAATATACCTCTACAAAAGCAGATGAATTGATATAAACATATTGCAGCGGTCATAGGAGAGAGTTTGTCCTGTAGACGGCTAAATAATGCCACTCTTAGAGTCACTACAAAGAAGGTCTTCTACTTTCGCTACAAATTCATTCTTCATACAATTCAGTTACCCATAAATGCTGTTTGTTTTACCTCATTTCAATCTCCTAGTCATCATATGATTTAGAATTAATGAAAAAATCGAAGGAATATGAAATTTAGACTTCTTAATTCTATAACCTTTTGTTAACATCTTGAAAAACTATCTATACAGGCAATTTTTTGATAAGGAAAGGTGGAAATACCTTATTTATAACCAGTATTCAGCTGAGAAAAGCCTTTAGTTATTAATGTATGTAAGCGATTCCGTAGTTCCACATTGTATATGATGCCTAACTGTACTTATGAGTGAATTGACATTTCAGATAAGGAAAAGTTATTTATCGATTGTAGAATATTAAAGTTGAATGTAGTTTCTTCCAGTTTTCGCCTGTTTTTTTATATTCGATATAATGTTAACAATGTCAGTGATATTCAAACAGATTATAAGATATATCATAATCAGAATTCTTCTTTTTTGCTGAACTATTTCTGTTACATCAATTCTCAAAAAAACAGTTCAAGTTGAATTGAATACACTATATATTTAAGGTCAAAATGAATTAATAGCGTACTTTCTTCGACATTTATCAAATAAAGATGATACTTCAGTAAAGATTTCGTTGGGAACCGTTATCAGGTAGAGAATTATTGAAAACTGAGAAGCACCGCATGCTAGTTTCGTCATGGTTTTTGAGACACTTCAACGGAATGCACTCAGAACCACACTAGGGATAGTGAATTTGTAGTACTTAGGATTTACAGGTCACTGCGTCTCACTCCAGCGACATAGTGGCCAGTGGACTGACGCCGCAATCTAAACTTTCTGGGTTTGAGCCTTGATGGTGTTCTAAGTCTGCAGTACTGAAGAATGCTTCTTCGATTTTACTGGCTATAGAAATAATTTCGTTTTCTAACGAAATACACATTAAAATCAATTAAAATATCTATTAAGAGGCGGAAGATCAGTCTTCAGTATACAGTAAATCAACTGAAAATATTACCGACAATGTAATAATGAGAATAGAAAACAATCAGGCCGACAATGTATTCTAAATAAGGTATTATAGAGTTTTGGCACTTATTCGTATGAGCGTACAGTCTTGTATAGTTGCTTCTAGTTCTACCCGATAAGATTCAAGGAGAGAGGTGTGTACGGAGAGGATATTTGGAGTCTTACAAGATGACATTTGCTGATTTTTTGCAGGAGGCCATGTGTCTGTTTACAATAGCATTAACCATTTGGTTTAGCAACACCTAACTCACCCTACTAACAGCATTTAGTGCCCTTCACAGTATAACAAAGTCTCTCTTATGTAGCCCAGGCAAGATTAAGGTATGGGGGTGCAGTAAAGAAGTATGGGCAGAATACAAGAATTAACAAACAGTAAAAGTAAAGACAGAATGATATCAAATCGTCTTAACTTCCTTATGTAGAACGTCAAACGAAACATGTTTCTGTAAACTGACATGATGTAGGAAGACCAGGAAAGATAAGAGGAAATGCATAGTCCAAGGTATTTAATATTTGACTTAGTTTCAACTTCAGTGCCATCTATGATGGTGGAACTGTGCGAGCTAACCAGTTTATGTAAGTCGTACTTGCATCTGAAATTGAAACTGACCACTTGACATTTTTGGGGGGTATTTGGCTTAAGACCATTTGACGAGGGCTACGGACTAATTTCTAATAGAAAGTTATTCATTTTGGAGCAGTTTGACTGAGAAGTGACAGGCATAGAAACAGTAAGATCATTGGCATATTTGACAACATTGGCTTTGTCAGTATGGGTGGAAATCATGTAAGAAGAAGTGATTAGTTTAACTGCAGTCTCTTTAAGTTTAGCACAAACACAAAGCAATGATTTTACACCATGGAAATAATCGTTAGTTAAGAAAAATTAAATGTTATTTCTTCGGAGATACATTAATTACTTAATTATTTTACACGTGAAAGATTATTGATCCCCTATAAACTCTCCTTCGGTATGCGAGAATTTGACTTATCATTTTTGAAGTGCTCACTCAACGTATAATTACACAGATTGCTGTTTCGCGCTGCAAAAGCTAGTAACCTTAAGTTTTCTACCTTTATTCTCACTAGTCGACAGACTGACTTAGCCAACTGCATTTTCTAAGCTTCATGAATTCTCTCTTCTTATTATGAAATACATTTTTCTAGATTGTAGTATAGCCCAACATACTTTTAGGCTGTATAAACTGACTCAATTATTACTGAAAATAAAAAGATTAGTGGGAGTAGACCTGATGTAAGCTGGGGCAAAATATACTGAACATTATTAGTTTGATAAAACTTACTTTGATTTCACAATCTGTGAGTAATAGTATGCTGTCTGTATAAGAGGTATTATATTCTTTGTTGTCTGTCGCTTATTCGGTTCTTCTCAGAATTTTAATATTCATTTCACGTTCCTTCTTCACGGGGCTTTCGAGCAACATATAAAGCATATTATCATTGCTTTTCCGAAGCTATAACCTTAGAGATAACGGCCACCTGGTTAAATCATTGGGCTACCAGAAGTTTCATCCAACAAAATGCCTAAACTCCTCAGTATTTCTTATTGTCTCAATCCCACAACTATATCGAATAATCACTAAATGTGGTGAACTCGCTCGCAAACTTAATTAGCTTTCAAAAACGAACGCTATGCAATACTCGAAGGAAAAGAAAAAGACTATACAGAATTACTTCCCTCTTCATATGCGACAACACTACATCATTTGATATACTTCATATTATTACTTTAAATCCTGTACGAATCACCAATATTTAGAGGTAAATACACTGAAAATATTTGTAATATGTGTTCATATATTGTCCAAAACAAAACATTATTATATTATGATATATATAATATAACTATATATATTATACTACTTGGTGCGTTGGTGGCATAGCTGTTGGGACGCTCGCCGACCATGCACATGGTCCGAGGTTCGATCCTCGAGCGATACACTCCTTCACCTCACCAAACCAGTAATAAAATTCGGTATAGAGGAAAGGTTGAGCATGAGGCTAGCAACCTCATCCTGTAAAGATAAACACAGCTACAGAAACTTCAAGTCTCTAGCTTGAAACCCTATGTTTAACTGGGAACGTGAAGGAGAAATTATTATTATTATTATACTACTTGCGTTAATTTATAAGTGGTAGACACTATAATCATAGGCGTTGCATCATAAAATTTATACTTAGCAACGTTTATTTATAATGATAAGTGGAACCGGAGTTTTAAAGTATTGGTTTTTGTAGGGATTTTCTTTGATTGGTTGGAGGATTTCGTCATGAGCTGACATCAGTTAGAGAACCTTTAGAAAACTTGGGAGTACTGAAGAGCTGTTTCGTCAGCCTAGTTTGGAACTCTTCAACCAATCAAACGAAATCCCTATGGAAACAAATACTTTAAAATCGGTCTGATGGTCACTGGTGAGTGGTCCTATTCAGGCAGTGACCTGGGGTTCTAGTAGGAAGCCGTGACCAGTAGGGTGCACCAGGTCGAAGGTAGGCAGCATCACATCGAAGAAGACACTTCAAATTGATTGGACTATGTCATGAATTGGTAGAAGTTAGAATTCATGGGTGGGCCATTGGATCGGTTCCCAGTGGCTTAATGGTCTACGGGCTCTCCTTGTAATCAGCAGGTCCTGGGTTCCACCCTTAACGACGGGTGCATACTGTTGAAGAGTCACAAACCGGGCGAAACAACTGTGCAATACTCCCTGTAGTTTTTCCACCGGTTGTCTAACTGATGTCACCTCATGGTGAAGTCCTCCAAACAATGAAACCAGAATTACTCAATTATCTTGGTCTATTAATCACAAAACTAAAGCAATGACTAAAGAGGAATTTGTCGACAATATAGACAGCTGTTCAGCATCCTCAGGCCCAAAAGAGATGTTAGCATATTCAAGTATGCATCAACGTGTGATGAATATGTATGAAGCTTCCACTTTGTTAATTTTCCAAGAGAAACTGTCAGATTTAATCAGTTTTCTTTGAGTATTAGTTAATTTCTTCCTCCAAAAATGCATAAATTATTTATCTTTGCTATGAAAGTCCTTCACTTTCGGATTTTTGTTTAGTTCTAATGAATTTACTACTCATTTTAAGATAAAAGTTTACAATAATAATGCTTACACTTCGACAAGTTGGACCCAATCGAAGAACTTGATTCTTATTGCGTGATACACCCAGGTGTGAATAGCAGCCTCTGGAAAATAAAAACAATATTTTAAAATTGCAGGATCTTTTGAAATATCATAAAATGAAATGTTACGATAGTGAATATTTCTAGCTAATATTGTGAGTGTTGTGATGTTTTCACTGGTGTTTAGACCTACATCGTTGTGGCTACAGCTTCTGACATTAGTCTAGGATTCATTTTCAGTATTGCCTTACAAGAAAATCATGCTATGAATGACATTGAAATAAGTACCGATGAAACGCTGAGCTCAAGGAGCAACTTTTTTTCTTCACGCTCCCAGTTAAACATAAGGTTTCAAGCTAGAGACTTGAAGTTTCTGTAGCAGTGTTTATCTTTACAGGATGAGGTTGCTAGCCTCATGCCCAACCTTTCCTCTATACCGAATTTTATTACTGGTTTGGTGAGGTGAAGGAGTGTATCGCTCAGGGATTGAACCCTGGGCCATGTGCATGGTCGGCGAGTGTCCCAACCGCTATGGCACCGACGCACGAAGAACCGACATAACTATTATTATTTCCTTACATTTCAAATGAAACATACAGCTTCAACAGTACATCCGGATTGCATCCTGTTTTTTTGTAGTCCTCTTTATGTGGCTTCACGATCGCCCATAGGCCCTCACCTTCTTTTCACATGATTTCTTCTGTGTCGCTCTCGGACCTAAGACAATTGAAGGGTTACAAATTAACGAGCTAATTAGTTGTTCTACTTCTTAATCTTGTATCGAATGAAATGACAGTCGAAACATAGCCATTAAACCATTTCGTTTCATCTACAATCTTCCAAAGTCTTCTGTCTAATACCTACTGGCTGTGTCTCTCCAACTGAAATGGGTGTTAAAGAGATAAGCAGTCGGTAAGGATTACAAGTGCAGTCAGTTTTCTCTACGGTGTGTGTATTCCGTGATTTGAAGAGAGGCATGATCGTTCGACGGTAAAGGGACTGAAAAAGTTTCTACGTTTGTCCGTCAAGCTTGCAGAAGCGAATGCTAAGATTTTTTTTCTTGAAGAATTGTCTCGAGAAACATGAATATCCCAAAGTATTTTGGAAGCATCGCAGAGGAAATCACATATCCCTTAACTCACGTACACTGAAACGACACACTCTGAATCACATCGATGCAGTTCGATCAAGACTACCTGAGCTAGAGCAGAATATCTTAAAAAACTCCCACGTTATATGAGTTATCTGAAGACGAAAGAACATCATTCGAAAAATACTCCAATACGTCCACAAAAAAAAGAACAGATGATGTTATAATGTAACTAAGCCAAAGCCTTAAGTCCCTTATCAAAGAAACCGTCTTTCATATCTGTCCAGAAAAATACGTATTCAACTATTCTGATGTTCCACTATCTTCAATTCAAATGCAAATTTTAGCACTTGGACCTAAGTTTTGTGATGGAACATCAAAAGTGAATGAACTGAACACGAAAGTCCGATTCGGGAATTTGATCGGCCAAACGAAATATCTGGTCAGGACCTCATACAAAAATGCAGACCTTTTCAAATCAACCGTTTTAAATTGTTGTCTCGATTGCATCAACAAAAAACCCAGCTTTCGTAATGCACTTCTCAAAAAACATCGAAAGCAGGTGAAAAAACTGAGGGATAATGCAAACTTAATCATCATACGACCAGATAAAGGCTCTGGGATTGTCCTGATGAACAAATCAGACTACCTAAGCAAACTCTCAGTGATACTATCTGATGATAAAAAGTTTCAATAACAGTCACCCTAGAAAGATCCCACTGAACAGATGGAGCTCCAGCTAACAAAGATATTGGACAAGATGAAAGACCAATCCATTATAAGTTCAAAACTAAATGAATAGCTGCGTCCATCTGGTTCTAAAATGCCGCGCATGAACAGCTTACCTAAAGTGCACAAACAAGACATCCCACTCCGCCCAATACTAGATATGATAGATTCCCCATATTATACAATCGCAAAATGGCTGGTGGAGATTCTCGGGCCGGTGAAAGAGAAGCTGTCTAGATAAAACCTCCATGACACATTCGGCTTTGTTGATTCAGTTAGGAATGTCAACGTGGCAGAAAAGAAAATGGTCTCCTTGGATGTCGTCTCTCTCTTCACCAACGTTCCACTGACAGAAACCGTACGTTTCCTTTGCGACTACATTCAATCCAGTAGCATCGATGTCGGTATACCGATCCATTACCCGAGAAAACTGTTACTACGATGCACCTTCGACGTATACTTTAGTTTCAACAACGAAATATACAGGCAAGTAGATGGAGTAGCAATGGGTTCTCCCCTAGGACCCCTCCTAGGCGACCGCTTTATGGCTAGCAAAGAAAACAACCTCTTATCACCAACTATCAACGACCTCCATCTCTACAAGAGACACATCGAAGATACTTTCATTATTTGTGATGAGAATCGTGATTTAAAAAACCTACTTCAAATCTTCAATGACGCTCTCCCGAAACATCGAATTTACACTTGAGGCTGAATCCGACCGAATGTTCCACTTCCTCAACTTCCATCTGACAAGAAACGCCAACAACTCTCTGAAAAGGTCCGTATACAAAAAGTCTACATGAAATGGACAATTCATCAACTTTCAAAGCTTCGTGCTCCTAAGGAGAAAGAGGAACCTGATATACGCTCTTCCATAGAGGATTCGGAAGATATACAGCGAGGAAGTGATTGACGAAGAGCTACGTAATCTCCGAAGAACCCTGATGCAAAAATGTTTTCCGCCCAGGTACATAGACAAGAATCTCAAATCAAAGAAGATTCCCAAACGAGTCCAATCCTTTCTAAAGAAAATACTTCTGCTTAATCTAGAATTCAAAGGTGATATTGAAGCAGAAATCCTTCGCAAACGTCTCTCCAAATCTCTGATGAAAACATACTTCGCCGCGAGCCTACAACTGACGTTTTCCTGCAAGGAACTGTTCAGCCAGAATGGGAAAGACAAGCTGTCGCATTGGGCAACTTCAACGTGCATATACCAGTTTGCTTGCTCTTGCGGAGCTGAGTACATCGGCCGTACCATGCGCCAAATTAAAAGACGCGCTCATGAACACTACCCAGCCTGACTAATAAAAGAAGATCGAAAACGTGTATATAGTTCAGTGTCAGAACATCTAGTCAATTCAGGACATTCAACGCGATTGGAAAAATCCTTCAAAATAATATTTTTACAGACACAAAAAGGCTTAAGTAAACCTACTCAGAAGTGAAAATACACTTTTTGAATCTTTCGTGTAGTGGTTATTTGTCCCTCACATTATGATAATTACGTTTACGATGACTAAGGTGTGAATAGATCAGTAGAGAATTCACCTAAGTTTTCATACCCTCAGATTTATCAAAACATAAAAACTACTTTTAGTAACTTAATCAACGTTATCTCACTCGTTGAAATTTCCACTTATAACTAAACAGTGACAGCAGGTACGCAAGTTAGGCAGCAAATAATGTAATCATAGCCAATCACATGAACAGATAGTAGGCGCACTTATTCTGAGATGAATTTCTACTAATGTGGTGACAGCTAGCTGCAAGCTAAAAATTGAAGACAGCAATTTACGTCAATATTACGTCCCTAATCAGAGTCAGAAGAAAAAACAAAAAACAGAGCCTAACCTTAAGGAATAACTCCATTATGGATAAGATTTCATTTTGATAAACCACACACAGTGTTGTACAGTAATATTAACTGATGACGTTTCGAGCACAAACTATTGCTCATAATCATATCAAGTTACTCACATAACTGAATAACTTGATATGATTATGAGGGGCAATAGTTTGTGCTCGAAACATCATCAGTTAATATTACTGTACAACACTGTGTGTGGTTTATCAAAATGAAATCTTATCCATAATGGAGTTATACTCTACCACAGTGCCCAAGTTTTATACTTATATCAATAACTTCGAGGAACTCACCAACCAATCACAGAAGACTTAACGTGTGCAAATACGATTCGCAGATATAGGGCTTAACTTTCCCAGAAACGGTCACAAGCGGTACAGAATAACCTTCAGCAAGAAAACAACCAATCAGAAGACGCTGCTTCTCTGCTGACAATAGTGCACACAAAAATCTGTAAATATCACTTGATTTTCTCAATAGAAGATCTGTTGCCTGGCCCTTGTCTTCTGTTGTTACTCTGCTACAATTTATATTAGGTCTAGTACTAGTAATAATAATAATAACGAAAGGAATTTTATTTTCTCTGAAGCTAATAATTAAATAAATCTACTTACCTTTGCCCACGACCTCTTATTCGTATCAAATGTCTATCTACTAGATTACGTGTATTTCTTCTTGAAGTCATATCTTGAAACTGAATGCATGTTTCTGCCTCAATAATTGACATAGCCTTTTTGATTAACAAGACGTCGACTTCTACAAAAGATGAAGAGAAATAATGAAGTGAGAATAATTTATCCAACTGCATAGAATCAAATAAATTTTCTTATAGACCTATATCTGATACAGAAACAATGAAATCATGTAAACACTGTGTTACTCTGCTTTCTTCTAACTAGAGTATACTTTAAAAGTGAACCATATAAATACAGGAACTTCATTGTTATTGCTTGTCATTTATATCACTCATTCCTTGAGCCTCAAGTAGAACATACGGCTTGGTTGGCGAATCTCTATTGCACTTGGTTATTCTTCATAGCTTTCAACTAGATCCACAAATGACCGCAAACTTTCACATCCTCTTTACACGATTTCCTCCATGTCATCCTTGAATACCCATACAGTCGCGTCCTATTTGAGTTCCGATAGATGGTTTGGCGTGTGATGTCAGCCAATGGTCTCCTCGGCGTATGTCCAGTTCATCTCCATCTTCTCAGGTTTTCAGTATCGAGCCAGAGAAGGAGTCAGTTGTTGACGGAAGTCTTCAGTAGCCTGTTGTAAATGCTTTAGTGACATGAATGCTGAGTGTCTGAACTATGAAGAAGCACTGGAATGATATTAGTGTTACACTCTTAGATCTTTGTTCTGTTGGTGAGTGTTGTAGGTTTCTACACAGATTCCACGCAGTGAATGTCTACTTCTCTTCTTCGACACAGTTTTCGGTAAAAAGGTGTCACGAAATTAAAAAAAATTTAAGCATGTTTGAATCACAGTCATTTGCAATTTACAAAGTTCGATGTAAGAATTCATCACGGTTTCCTCAAAAAATCCAAAAATATGCAGTTCATATTTAGCAGTCTGCTTGATACTTTAAATATCAGTCAAGAAAGTATAAATAAATGCACGATAGCACATATTACTGATTATTCTTAGTATCTGGGAAAGTAATTACAACAACCAGCAAAGCCTACCAGCCAGGTCGAAATTATCTAAAAACCGAAAGGCTATTTTAATCCTCTGAGGCCCAACACAACAACGGTATGCATGCTTTGCAATCTTAAGCAGTTTTCTAATCACTTCAAGAGAAGTATTTTATAACTCTTACAGTTCCGAAGTGTTACCTACTCCTCCTATTGAACCTGCTGCTCACAGTTTATGCAGGTAGGTTTAACAGATTTGTTCTTTGAATAAAAACTTGTAATAATTTTCAAGTATTTGTTTTTTGTAGGGGATTTTGTTTGATTGAATGGAGGATTTCATCATGATCTGACATCAGTTAGAGAACCATTGGAAAGCCAGCTGGGAGTACCGGATATTTGTTTTATCTTAGCTTGGGACTATTCAGAAGCCATGTAACCAGAAGCTCCTTGGTTCGAACCCCAGTGGGTTCGTACTGATGAAGAGTCCCAAGATAAGACGAAACACCTGTCCAGTACTCCTAGCTGGCTTTCCAATGGTTCTCTAGCTGATGTCAGCTCATGATGAGGTCCTCCAACCAAACTTGTCATAAATTCATGAAATATTCGGTAAGAGCTGAATAAGTGATAATTAGTGATACCATTTCGTAAGATGACTTCAGATTTTATTTCAAAATAATTATGAAGCTTGAAAAAATATCTAACACATGGTTTGCTAAGATATGACAGCGTCAATCCTCACGTGTAAAAATCATAAACCTTGACTGTATATTTATCTGAAGTCTTTTAGTAGTTTAAATCTACGCATCATGTTTCATCCTACCAGTAATTCGTCTCTTTGGGATGTACCTATATCCCAAAGAATGTCACTCATTAACATAAGTGGTTCTTTTGAAAGAATTCATCGGGATTAAATGATCTTTGTTTCACGAATCAGTCTAAAAGTTTTATAATGAAATAGAAAAGCAGGAACTTTGTGTACAGACGTAGGTTAGTCAGTCACTGCCTCTTTCATGGCCTTAAGCTGTTCATAAAAAATTTTCAGTAAGACAAATAAAACATCGTATCACCATATTCCTGTTTCTACGCTATTTCTGGTGATAATGCTTCGTAAATTAAACATTTTTTTTCATATTTTGCAACCCCATATATGTAGTGATTTCATTTCATCACACCTCAAACATATTTTGATTAACACTCACTCTCAGTAACAATTTTTTGTTGCCATCATGGCCTCATTGTAAATGCTGGTGCGTCAGTGTTTCATTGGTGTAACAATCGCCAACCATGCACTTGGTTCAGGCTTTGATCCTCAGCCGTATACCTCAATTTTCTACCCGATAGGAAGCACGGGTAAGGGGAGGGTAAAGAGTGAGGCTAGCAATGACAGCCTCACGTAGAAAGAACAATACTGCTACATGAGACTTCAAGGCTTCAGGCCTAAAGTTATATGGTCTACCAGAAACTGAAGATGTGAAAAGTTGGGACAAAAAACAGTAATAACTATTTATTTCTTTCACTATTCTTTAAATTACAGGACCACTGGAAAAAATTGTGAAAATATAATATATAAAGACAACTGCACAATTGTAGTGAGGGAAATGGTTTAAAAGAGTATTTTATTTTTGCGTATGTCGCTGATTTCATGTGAAGTCTGATATATGATTCCAAGAAGTCATTCAGTAATTTAGTAAGACATTTAGCCACCTTCATCTTTATCCGTCCTTAAATAATGGGAATAATAGAGAATATTTGTAGCTCAGGTGGATGATTTGCAGTTAATAGTGTTCAATGAGCTGGTTGGTTTAGTTGCGGAGCTTTCAATGCATATAGACAATTATGAACATCAATTTGATTGGGAAAATGTCAAAATCTTAGACAAAGGAAACACCGAAAGTGCCAGGGAATTCCTAGAAGCCTAGTTAGTACTCAAGCGAAAATGCAATTAACAAACACGTTAATGTAGACGAAATATACCAGCTAATAAAAAGTAAATCATGTGACCAGAAAGTTTAAAATCTAAGTCAATAGAAAATGGTCAATACATATGTAAAGATGGTTACCGGGAGGCGCAGTTATATCACTCATGAAGAAATTTAAATCATTTCACTTTATGCTAAATATTGCGCTGAAGATGTTGTCCAGAAGGACGATGACAGCTCCGCAACTAAACCAACCAGCTCACAGAACACTATTAATTGAAAATAATGCAAATAAGATTGCAATGGAGACTAGTTAAGACATACTTATAGAGGAGCCAGTACGTCTAGTTACGTTAATAAAATCAGTCCTTTGAAGGTGATTACTGATCACGGCTAATAGTCAAGATCAAGCTGTTGAATTAAAATATGTTGGTGCAAAAATTTCGAGTAAAGAAGCATTCAAAATAAAGAAATTTTCGACAAATTACAGAATTACTCGATAGCATGTTTTACTGAAAAATTGTCAGAATTAAATGATTTATACGAAAACACCATATGGTTAACCTGACAGAAAGGAATAATAATGAACTTTTTCAGCATAGAAGCCTCAGATTAGCACTGCCTGCTAAAACAATCTTACTAATGCATCGTTAAGCTGATCGCTTTCCATCATCTGTAATCTTGAATAATTTAAAACTATCTACTCAGTTTTTAGTTTTGATTATATAGTGTTAGTTACCTCAGGTAAACAAACTTTGCTTTCTGTCACATATAAGATTTTTTCAACATATCGAAAAAACCCTCAGCTGAACTCTTTTTTGGAGTGGATCATTCAAGGAATGATTACGAAATAGAAATAGCCAGCAAGGTTATAATGTTCTGCAGACTAGTCTGGTTAATAAACCAGTCGTAACTGATGTACGGTGAGCCTATTTCATAACTAATGAAGACAATTTTAGGGTGTTTTAATTCGATATAAGAATGACATTTGGGAATTATGTTAGAGTATAACTACATAATAGAATTATACTATTGAACAAAACACCCTGATAAAGTATTATTCATTATTATTACTGATGGCGTTTCAAACACGTTTTGTTGCTCATAAACATCTCACAGATGGTTCAGTTGGAGAAGGATGTTCTTATTCGCCTCCTGGCCGGTAGACCTTTAAGCCTTCCCTGGTTTACTGGCTGGCGATAAGGTTGGAAAAGAGAAAAAGTTTAGCGTGAGATTAACAACTCCACCATGTTAAACAAAACGGATTTGCCACTAGTGAAGCTTCGAAGTTTGAAGCCCTTTGGTCCAATCAGAAAGATAGAATTAGTGAAAGACCATTTCACCTTGAATACTTTGAAAGCACTATTTTTGTCCACTTGGTGACCACTATCAATCAAATGTGCCAAAATAGAACTTCGTATGGACTTTATTTGACCTTTTCCGAACCATGAAGGAAGATGCTCATTAATGCGTTTGTTAAGCTGCCTAGTTGTTCGGCCTATATAGCTTTCTCCACAGGAGCAACTAAATTTATAAATACACATGGAAGTGGCACAACTCGGTAACTTATCTTTCACTTGAGCAATCAAATTGGCCGGCTGGAAAATGACAAACAGAGGGTGGCGGCAGTATAAGTCCGTTTTATCGCTCTCGATAATCTCTGATGTAAGACTTCACTAGCCACGTCCCCATTAAATTGCAGTTTGATGAACAGTTGTTTCTTTTTAACTGTTATCGGTTTCTCTTTATTGTACTTCGCATTCATGTGTCTCCTGACAAATCTACTAGGATAACCCATTTGGACTAACGTATTTTGGATGTATCCTAGCTCATTCTCTAGAGAGTCATCTGTACAGATGCGTCTTGCTCTATTCGTCAGGCATCTGACCAAATTGATTTTGTAACGGATTGGTACATAACTGAGGAAATGTGTATATTGTCCTACAGATGTAGGTTTTCTATAGACATCTCTCTTTAGTGAACCATCCTCTCTTCTGCTCAATTGGACGTCAAGAAAATGTAGTCCACCATCATATTCTTCTTCACAAGTGAAGATAAGCGATGGATGTGCATCGTTAAACTTTTTTAACATTTCATTCTTGTCAGCTTTCACATCAAGAATAATAAAGGTATCATCAACATAACGAAAATAAGAATCAGCTTTTTCTATTACTTTTTTCAATGGACCATTTTCAAT